GGGGGGCGCTAGGGGGGGTGGAAGTCAAAACCTGTGACCCTAGATATCTTTCGAACGAAACAAGATATTAAGGCCCGGTTTGGATAAAAAATCGTCGAAAATTGCATACTTTAAGATTCTAAAGTTCAAAATCCCAAAATTTAATTTTCAACTTAACTTATGTGCTTTTTTTCAGTTTTTGAGGAAAAACAATTTCTTTTAAACAGATTAAACTGAAATTTCACATTTTTTGATTTGAACCAAAACCAGTTTTTTAAATTGTTCGTCTTTTTTCGCATTCAACGAGTGGTCGTATAAGCTGGGGAACCGAACGGTTCCGGAGTTATGATCGATTGAAGTTTCCGCTCAACGCGCGCCGACCGATTTTCGCGCGCAAAAAAGTCGGATTTGACTGTTATTAAATCAGATTGAATGTTCTAACTGAGCAAAATGCATTATTAGGGACTCTTGAGGGTCGCTGAGTCCAGAAATTACAGATACTTCCAAAATATTCACGTTTTTAAAATTACAGCTCCGTAGCGCTATTTTAGAGGCTCACTGAGCGCCGACCGGCCGCTCAGTGGTCCTGTGCGGAGCTGTAATTTTAAAAACGTGAATTTTTTGGAAGTATCTGTAATTTAAAACCAATTGGATTGTAATTTAAAACCATATAGGACTCAACCTTTTTTCAAATAGCAATCTCCCACTTGGGATACATCGTCGGAAAGAGGACAAAACATATCAGACTTTTGGCGCGAGTCGCAGGTTTATTCTATTCAACATGGCGGCCGGTTGAAGCTTTTTATTCAAGACTTTAACCTGCCGCCATTTTGAAACAAATGTAGATCTTCCGAGTGGAACATCCGTTGGAAAGGAGATGAAAAAAGAAGACTTTTAGCGCAAGTCGCCGTCTTCATTTGTTTCAAAATGGCGGCCGGTTAGTCCTGAGTTTAAGAACTTCAACCGGCCGCCATATTGATTAGAATAAAGATGGCGACATGCGCCAAAAGTCTTATTTTTTTGGCCTCGTTACAACGAGGTATCACATTGCTATTTGAAAAAAAAGTTGGGGCCCGTGGGCTCCCATGGGAGGGCCTCCCGAAAATGGGGGGGGGGGCAAAGTTTCGTTTCAATCAGTTAATGAGGGAAAAATTTACGGGGAGAGGTTTTACCGTTTCTTTTGCCCATACCGGTATCAAAAGATACTTGTGATTTCTATATATAACCGTCATAAATCGCTCATATAACCGATACATAAAAAACCCTCGTTCATTGCTTTATATACTCGATAAGAACTTCCGTATATTTGTGAAGCATTTAATTTCTTTATTAAAAACTTGTGCTTTCTTTATATAACCCTTATACATCGCTTATATAACCGGAAAAGTGAAAACCCTCGTTCATTATCTATACTATAAGCTCCAAGACCTCCTAATTTTGCGAAACTGGTAACGCTTAGTTCCAGCGTTTTACCGGGCCGATTTTCATGATTTTTGCGGCTATGGACGGGCAATTGTCTCTAGATAAGCCAACTCTTTTCAGATTTTCAAAATATGGCCCAGGTTTTTTTATATTACGTGGTAAAGTTGCGAATTCTCCCATTTAAACAATGTAAATTTATACTTTTTGTCATAGTTCGTTTGAGCGTTCTACCGGGCCGATTTCCATGATTTTTGCGTAAATCGACAGGTTATAGGCCCTAGATGAGCCCGCTGTAATCAGATTTTGGAAAAAGGACCCAGGTTTTTTTTAAAATCACGTTATAAAAGTGAGTGAGTTTACAGAATGCTCCGATACTGCTACCGCTATGCGCCGGAGGATGCGCAGTGGTTGAGGAGGTTGCGCAGTAGCTGTGTCGCCTGCGCATCAGCTCTACACTTATCTACACAAGATTCGCACCTACGACTTCATGTCGAGTGGTGGCCGAGTCGTCTAAGATGTCAAATGCGTCCAGTTTGATCACAGTGTGGGTTCGATGCCCGACTCATGAAGTCCCAATTATTACCTCACTATCATTATTCATTGTTTTACTGCAATATTTCATCAAGCAGTCATTACAAAACGCGTCCTTTTAATTTTAAAGTAATTTTAAGTAAAGTTTAAAATTAAAGCATACCTCATATCGTAATTTTTTAGGGGAAAAATAAAACTAACACTGATAGAGGGTAAAAGTAGGGCCGCGAAGCGGCCCATTGATGGCGCGGAGCGCCTTCAGGGGGTTGTGCCGCGTAGCGACCAGGGGGCGTAGCCCCCTAGTTTTTTATAATCGTTAGGAACTTTTTTATTTAACGAAGCTTTTCATTTCATAAATAGAAGCTTGTGCTTTCTTTATATAACCCTTATACATCCCTTATATAACCGGAAAAGTGAAAACCCTAGTTCATTATTTTTTATAATCGTTAGAAACTTCTTTATGTAACGAAGCGTTTCATTCCTTACTAATAATCTCGTTCTTTCTTTATATAATCGTTATTCATCGCTTATATAACCAAATAAGTAAAATCTCTCGTTCTTTGCTTTATATAATCGATTAAAACTTTTTTATATAACGGAGCACTCCTTATCTTATGTAAAATCTCCTGCTTTCTTTATATAATCGTTATACATCAGTTATATAACATAATAAGTAAAAACTTTCGTTCATTGCTTTATATAATCGTTTAAAACTTTTTTATATAACGAAGCATTTCACTCCTTAAATATAATCTCGTGCTTCCTTTATATAATCTTTATACATCTCTTATATAACATAAAAAGTCAAAACTCTCGGTCATTGTTTTATATAATCGTTTCAAACTTTTTTATATAACGAAGCATTTCATTCCTTATATATAATCTAGTGATTCCAATATACAACCGTTATATATAGCTTATATAACCGATAAGTTAAGACCTTTCATTCATTTCCTTATATAACGTTTACATATATTTTTATATAACCGTTAGACTTACGGCTCCTGATATATAACATTTATATGTGCGTTATATAATCTTTTTATAAATGGCCATTTATATAAGATTTATATATCTGTTATATTTTTTTAAACAACTGAAAAAGGAACACTGCTACTAGGGATATTATGAGATGAGCCACTTCCTATTTTTTTAGACTTTTTTTGTCCGAAAGATCACCCTCTTTATTTGTGAATATGAATGTATTTAATATGACTAACAATATATTCTAGTCTAATTGTGTACTGAATTTTTTGGGTTCCTATCCCTCTATTCTGTTTTTATTACCTTTTGTAAAAATTCTACAAAAATAATTGAAATAAACATTGTCATTGTATAATTGATGTTTTGTTTTTTACCGCAAGATCTGGAACTTTTAAACCTTTATTTTCATTCATTTTCAAGTTTTACATGAATGCCATTCTAAAGAACAAAATTGGAGTTGCCAGATTTCTAAATCGCAGATACTGTCATGATAACGTTTAGCGCGCGATGTGAATCACGTAGAGCACTGAGTTTTTATGAGCGGGTGGTTTGAATTTACGCATCAAGAATCATTGAATATCTTCGTAAGGAGTTGATTTCGGTAATTTTCGCTGTAGGCATCGTGTTCTACGTGAAATTTTGGTTAAGAAACATTAATCAGAATGCTGAAATTCGTACCTTGTCTAGTGATCCATTGCAAAATATAGTTCACTTGAATATCATCCTGATGCTTTATACTACTTTGAGTCAGAATTTCGAAAATCTGCCAGACCTGTACTCTGCCGTGCAAAGGAAAAACGCCGTATGAACATTCGAAAGTTGCCAAATTTCCTCCAGTAAAACGTTTATTCTTACGGAGAGTTTTCTCTTGAAATGTTCAGATAATTTAGAGCTGATTGCGAATCGGAAAAACTGGAGGGAAAATGTTATAAATTTTCCCGAAAACTCGTATGTTATCAATGAAAATTTGGCAACGTCTAGAGGCTCATACGGCGTTCTTCCATAGCACTTCAGTACATATTAGCCCAAGTGTTGTCAAGTATCACTTAATGAGGTACCTACCTACGGCAAGAATTGTCAAAACGCAAGCCGGCAATGTAGATCCATCGATTAGTTAGGTACCTACATTTTCGCATTAGATCAAAGTCATATAATTTGGGGAGGGGGAAGGGTTAACCTCCTAAACAACACAACTTGTTCTGAAGGATAATCTTACAGTAAAAAGAATCGAATTTCAATTTAACAATAATACTTTCATTTTATTTGTCTAACAAATTCAGTTTTTGAAAAATAAACTTGACATTGATTACAAAAATATTTTTTGTACAACGGAATCAAAATATCATCATGATCGGAGTTTGAGAAAAGACCATTTTAAGAGGAAAGGCATAGATACAATAATAAGGAAAGAATAAATTGGGAGCCTGGATGTATTATAGCCATAGAATGATAGTTGAAATCTTCATACATAACCAACGAAGTCATTAGGAACTTCCTGCTTACCCTTATCCTTAGCAATCAGCTTTCTAGCAAGGTATTTATTACAAGAGTAGTGACTTTGAATTATACATTTATTTAAATAGAATGAATTGATAAGGAGCCAATCCAAAATTTGGAGAAAAGTTTGAGCCCATCTAGTGGCACTTATATTTTCTACTGTCAAAAATTCAACATCAAGAAAAAATATTTCTAATGTGAAAACTGTAGTTGAACTCTATATCTTGCACTGAGAGACTGCGAGGTATAAATCTCTAACTTCTCTTTCTCAATACCAACCTGATGTGGCTAGGTTCCTTTCTTTGTAACTTAATCAATCATTAAGTCACGACAAGAACCCATAAGCTACGATTGTGCCATCAATTGAGTACCTGCATAAAATGTGTATATGCAAATTGAACAGTTCAGGACCATTGATAAGGGAGATGTGATGTCCAAAAACGATGTAGATTTTCATAACCCATAAGTAGGTAACTCTGCTAATTTTGCTCTAACGTTTCCGAAAGAGTCGCCCTTTCTCTATTCCGCTTGTTAAGTCATGAAAAGGGCGCGAAGATCTGGCTAGGGCTGGTGTATTGAACACAAAAGCTTAGAAACTCTAAATTACAGAAAAAAATCACCTTTAAAATTCAGAAAAAATATATACCCTGGCATAATATAGTTGGGGGCCGACCAGCTTGATAATTTTAGGAGTCAACATTTGCATTTGCCTAATTTTAGGCATTCCCTTAATTTTTATGAAGATCGCCATTTATGTCAGCATGGACTTTACAGATCATTTTTTATCACCTTTATTTGTCTGAGACACTCAAACACTTATGACTCGTATTAAAAATGATTGGAAAACTGTTCATAGCTTGTATTTTTACGGTGAAACAGCAGGAATGCTGATCTGGGTTTGTTACGTTGCAGACTTCCTGTCATACTTTATTTTTGAAACGAAGAAGTGTTCAGCATCATTTTTTGAAATCTTGGAGTCACTCTCTGTGATCTCAACGCAATTTCACTCTGCCCTTCCTCCTCCCCAAGTACACTTTCCTTCTAATGAACAGAAACCTGTACTCAAGCCTGCTCCAAGGTCTCGTCATTTTCAGGCGGAAGTTTTCGGTAAAATATGTTTTGAAAATTAGAAAAGAATGGATTAGTCCTTCGGAGGACATATGGCTCCTTCTCGTATAAAATTTAAGGTCTAATTCGAATCTCATTAATTTAAAGTAATAATTTGAGATTCATTTTTCATTTCTTCAAAGGGACGAACTTTTGATTAGTCATAGTTTAAAGCATCCAAAAATCCCCTAATCATAAGCAACTCAGGCGAACTATTTTTGACAATCTAATCCAGAGTGAGTAAGAAACCCATAACCATTCGGCGAAATTCTCAAAGCGAATCTTGTGTTAATTATGGAAGTGATACATTACGTTGCAGAAAAGAAATTAAAAAAAAAGATACAACAGCTACAACCAGAGATGAATTGATAGAGCGTTGCCTATCCAGTGGTAGTCGCAATAACTACCGTAATAGGTAGTAACCCTGGTGTTTGCCGTAAAATCCGCAGTATCCGTAGTAACGTCCACGTGAATGACTCTCCGGTAATTGCTTCAACCACAAATATGACCGTGGTGCTCAACACGAGAAAGATATAGAAACACACGGAAAAAGAGGCAAGGATTGATTCCCGGTTAAGCCGGTCGGCGCGAAACGCATAGTAGCGCCTACAAGACTGCAGGAATACTTCTCGCATCGCGCCAAACACAGTGCGGTCGCCGCGCGCTGGCTGATCAGCGCGAAACGAATTTTAGCGCCTACAAGACTGCAGGAATACTTCACGCATTGCGCCTAACACTGTGCGGTCTTTGGTCGGCGTGAGACGCATGGTGCCCAACATGGTCAACACAGTATGGACATAGCAACACACGGAAAAAAGAGGTTGGGGTTAAGTCCCAACCCGGACATTTCCAATTAATTGGAGTAGTATTCCAATAAATTAGGTTACTTTCATGAATGTTGCGTACTACCATAACTAATTGAAAATGTCCGTATCATTCAACAATTTGGGGGTAGTGTAGTACTACAATTTTAGGGGATAGCCCCCAAAACTTTGTTTCCGTGTAGCCGTACGAGAGCTGACGTTCTATTATCAGTAACTATTTGCCCCCCCCCCCACCGGGTGATTGAAATTCCCAGCTGGGATAAATCGGATTTGCCCGATATTTCATGTCGGCAACAACAATGGCCACATCAAAAATCTCAACCTACCGCCCAACCTTCGTGCAAAAGTGCACCCATGCGAACCATGACCAAAAGTCATGAAACGGCGGAGAATTTACTCGACAGGTGTCGAGCATTTTTTTCCGCGGATTGTAATTTTACCATGTGTGCACTCATGCGAGGTCAAAACCCGTGAAAATTTGACTAATCATTGATCACCTCCATGCGCGGAAATCTTTATTATTCTCGACCGTCTAAGAAGTGCTGTCCGTCCAATGACTGCTAAGTTGGAGTTAAAAATATGTTCAGCAAACAGGGCTTAGTGATCGGTTATTCATCAAGTCAACAATCATCCTCTACCTTTCTCTTTTGAAGGTATAGAATTTGCCTTTGGACGGGTGTATATAGACATAAATGTATAATACGTAAATGCGTTTCTTAGCACATGACAATCACAAGTCCACATCACTATGCTGAACGGAGTAGTGACGCGGCGTGCTTTGCGATATATCGATTGATCTGCCATTTAAACCTATGAAAAGGATCGGTAAACAGGGTGTTCACAACGGACACCTTGATAATCGATTCTTTACTATAGCTTCAAATGGGAAAATATCGATAATCGATCATTCGCGCCTCGCCACTGAAACACAGCGAGAGTCGGACGTCAATTGGGATGTTCTACTCGCACAACGAGCCCCTGCATCGTTTAGACGTTGGCAACTTGGGCACCGCCTTTGCTGACGACCAGATTGATTATGTTCGCATTGCTGATTTGCGGTGCTTTCTGGGATTGCAAGAGTTTGTAATAACTGTGAACTATCGTGAAAGCATAGACCAAAACACCTGCAACCGAAAAAAAAGTCGAACAATAATTATTGAATAAATAGAGCAAAACCGGCACTATACCTAGTGTCCGTTTGTTTCGTGGCAGATCAGCAAAACAACACAGGAAACGTGTCATTCAATAATTTTTCCAGTTTAACGAAGCTCTTCCAAATTTTTCTTCCGCAGTTTTGTTGTCAGGCAAAATGTTTCTACGGGTCTGGGTGTTTCCTCGGAAATTTTAAAACCGCCCAATTGCGACACACACACTGGAAAAAAAAAACACATTGTATCTAGAGTCCAGACTCTTGGAAACATTGACAAGAAAAAATACTCTTGATTCAATCAGATTTTTGCTTACATCAAAAGGAAATCCGCTCAAATGAAGAGGCTTGGTTCTTGATCTAAGCAAAAATCCGATTGAATCAAGAATATTTTTTCTTGTCGATGTTTTTTAAGAGTCTGGACTCTAGATCCAATATGTTTTTTTTTTTTTTTTTCCGGTGCACCCTTACGCACAAAAGAAGAAGAAAAAAAATTATTCGAGGAGGAACAAGCCAAATTGGCAAATGGCCGACAACTTCAGAATTAGAGAGCTCCAGATCTACGCATTTTTATTGGTACCATCCAAGTTTGCAGAGCGAGATGTCAGTACCCCAGAGCCAGAAGGCACCAAACTCCATTTTAGTCTTTTCGAGATATTGGGGAAAAACCGTGTGTCGGCCCCATTGATTCCAATGTAAATATCAATTTTTGAAATTCTGTATCTCACAACCGGCGTAAGAGAGGGCTATCAAATTTTCCACACATACAGCGCGGTTATCGAAGATTTCCAAAACGGCTTTAAGATTTTAAGACTTTAAGACTAGATTTTTCCAAAATGTGAGATAGGTACTTTTTGGCTCTGGGATACTGACATGTGTGTGTTTTATGACCATTCGCGGTCCGTGATACGTTTGCTGCCTATAACATGGTGAGTTTGAAGGCGAACCTTCAGTTGACGAAGTTTTCAAGTTTTTGGAACTTCACACTTTTCATAAAATAAAAACCATTTACCCATGCATCTCAAATTTTCAGGGAAAGTTCTTGATAGCATTTCAGAAAGAATTCTGTGAAAACATTGTCCCAAAGTATACACGTTTTTTTTGCTATGATACATTGTTTCCAAACAATTGAACATGGCATTTACGGTGTTTTTACGTTGCACGGCTGATTCTGCCAAAAGCTTTACGATTTTTTATTCGCTGTATCGACGTATCTGGAGTAAGATGTAAGTGTGATTTTTGTGCAGATAACTGGACGTATTTCTGCCAAACGGAACTATGTGCATTGAGACATGAGCCCTGATACCCATAAGAATATGTGCATAACAGGGCCCACGTCATAATGCACACAGTTCCGTTTGGTAGAAATACGTCCAACTATTCGCGCTCCACGGTATTTTTTTCTTTGCCTATAACGACGGTGCAAGACGGCAATCACATAACTCGTTTGCGGTGTCTGAAAATCTCCGCCTCGATGTTATTTTTTTAAAGGAGAACTAATTGACATCATTCCTTGAAGTTTTTGCAGAATTTTCTTCGCACAATGAAGAAAAATATGGCAGTTTTAAAGAATTGCCGTTGAATAGTTTTCCGTTTAAAAAATAAAGTATGACAGGAAGTCTGCGACGTCGCAAACCGAGTTATGTGATTGCTGACTTGCACCGTCATATGTATGATGCAACCTCAAGTTGAAAACATCTGCTAATGAGTTTACGGATTGTATATTGCAGTGGCGGGGCGTGAAAGATCGATATTCGATATTTCCCCATTTGAAACTGTGGTAAAGAATCGACTATTAGGGTGTTCGCTGCGAACACCGTGGTTATCGATCCTTTTCCATAGGTTTAAATGGCAGGTCAATCGATATATCGCAAGGCACGCCACGTCACTGGTATATTGGCTCTATTGAAGTGTATGGTGCGAAGTATACATTTGTTTTTCATCTCAAAAGGCGACTCGTTAAATCTGAAGCAATGTAAGTCACGAAGGCGCTCTGTTTCAATCTTCAAATTCTTTCTCCCATTTTGTTCGCTCACCCTAGTCACCTTGATAAGATTTCGACTGAAGTAAAAGCAATGACAAGAAGTGAGTAATGACTTACATAATATTATGAAAAGGAGTATATTTGATAGAGCTCGAAGATCAGGTCGTGCAAAGAAATTGACGGCTAAAAAGGTAGTGGTATGGAACACTATGAGACAAACTGCCGATATGACGAGCCAAGATAGAATAAGAATTCGATTCCTCTGAAATATAAAAATTAATATTAGAAAAAACCCTGGTACACCTAGGCAGAAGTGTATCAAATAGTAACTGTGATTTGAAAATATAAACATAGAAAAATTTCACATCCATGAAATTTTTTTTAATTTAAAGTCTTGGTCTCTGAGAAATGCTGAGTGCCTGTGACGAAATGATGACCAGTAATTTTTATTGCATAGCAAACAATAATAACAAATAAGAGGGCACGAATTGTAAGGTGACATTTCATTTGGGTTGTGGTATTTCAATTTTCTAATCGAAAAATTAAGCAATTAATTAATAGTGATCATTGATGAAAAATTGATTTTTCGTGCGTGTAGCAAGTTTTTCTTGCGTCGACGAAAATTAATTTTAGACTTTAACAAGCCTTCCAGTTGCTCGGATGAGTTATAACGTTAAACTTATAGAGCTGTCAAAGTTCGTCACTTGGAATTGGGATGAGAGACAATACGGAATAAATCTTACCAAATAAACGCCCAGGCCTAACAAGATACTGGCAAAACAGCAAGATGCGTAGAAAACCAGAGCCACTGAAACTCCCGCAGTGATGTCTGAAATAACAAGAAATAAAATCATATCAGAGGTAAAAGCCGGCGTGATGGGAGATAAAATAGGTAGCACCTAAAATGCCAGTTTGTCGGTAAAAAAAATTAGCTTTTGCATCGCCGACCAACGCGTTTGTCGATCGAATCAACTACAGGTATTATGCGTAGGAGGTCAAAACGCCTTCAATTTTTTGAACGCAATACGGACATCCGTCGAGGTTGTATAGTTGTATCAAGGCGCCGTAGCAATCGCGTCCCGCATTGTTTGTCGTTACAGACGAATATAAGTTAAAAGGGGAAAGTCATAATGCCTTCAATTGTATACATACATATTTTTGGGCAAAATGAGAGACGACGTTCCTCCATTTGCGACGTTGCAGACTTCGTTAGAAATTTCATTTTTCTTCCGAGATGCTGGTCAACATAAAACTTAAATTCTCCATGATTTTTCGTATTCGATAGCAGAAGATTTGGTTCAAAATTTAAAGTCGTAAATTTGGATTGTTTCTCATGGAAGAGATGAATTAAGAACGGAAATTTTGAAACACCGCAATGGAGATACGTGGTTGTCACTTCAGTCGGTGCTATACGGACATCCATCGAGTTTAAAAAAAATGCATCAAGTCCCCGTCACCGCCGTTCAACGCATTCCTCGATCGAATCAACTACAGGTAGTAAGAGCAGGGAGTCAAAACGCCTTTAATTTTTTGAACGCAATACGGACATCCGTCGAGGTTGTATAGTTGTATCAAGGCGCCGTAGCAAACTCATCCCATTGTTTATTGTTACAGACGAATATAAGTTAAAAGGGGAAAGTCATAATGCCTTCAATTGTATACATACATATTTTTGGGCAAAATGAGAGACGACGTTCCTCCATTTGCGACGTTGCAGACTTCGTTAGAAATTTCATTTTTCTTCCGAGATGCTGGTCAACATAAAACTTAAATTCTCCATGATTTTTCGTATTCGATAGCAGAAGATTTGGTTCAAAATTTAAAGTCGTAAATTTGGATTGTTTCTCATGGAAGAGATGAACTAGGAACGGAAATTTTGAAACACCGCAATGGAGATACGTGGTTTCGCACTTCAGTCGGTTCGATACGGACATCCATCAAGTTTAAAAAAATGCATCAAGTCCCCGCCATTCAATGCTTGCACCAGTGTGGCGTTCAACGCGGTACGGTTGCATTCCATCGAATCTGGCTCCTACTAAAATCGTCCACAAAAACTTTTTTCTTTTTTTTTTATCTTTCAGGGATCTATGATCTAAATATGTCTGACTAAAATGTTCATGCAGTAAAAACTATACTTAAGAAAGATTTTTCAGGTTTTGATTAACGCCATCCGCTGTTGCCTAAATTTTAACATCTGACATAATTGTTTTTAACGTTTCTTGGTTTCGATCGTATAAAATTAATTAACCAAGTATGAAATAAATCTACGCTCAAAATTTTAAAACAAGTTATAGAATTTAGAAATGATGTGCACATTTTACTCAAATCTTTGGTGAAACTCTCCATATACAGCAGTATAGGTGTGGGACACGAACCTCTTCGTCCCAGGCCTGGAGGGTTTAGGTGTATTAATTTCGTCTGAACTTCTGTGTCTCGGATCATGGTTTCAGGACATTCCGTCATAGATTTTTTGTCCGCGCACCTGTTTAGTCCAGTAGTTTACGTCCACGTGTAAAATAAGCAACAGTCACTTGGTCGAAGCGTTATATTTCAGTAACGTACGTAAAATTATATTGTCAGTATCTTAATGACAAAATCGAGAGAGAAGGGGGTGTTCGTTATGGTGACTCATTTTTTAAACGAAATGTTGTTTTTTTCTGTTGATTCATGTTTTCAAATTGTCATTGGATAATATTTGGTTTTATTTCTATCTTTAAAATTGTCGATATAAAATATACCTTTTTTTAAATGACAATATTACTTCATTTAAAAAAAAAATTACATTTTTATAACGTGCAAATATTTATAAAACCTTTTCTAAGCGATATCATCGATATTAATCTTAATGAGCCGTAGGTGTGTTGAAATTATAAAAAAAATGAAAAAAATAGGGGGAAAAACCAAGAAGCACGCAATCTTTGGTTTTAACCCATTTGTACATCGATCTTTTAAAGTCAAATACGTCCAATTTTGAGCGTTCGGTTGCGTGTGCACCACGCTGTAGCACAGTATAAAAGCACAAAATATAAAAGAAAAAAATAAAGAGCTTTGGAAATCATTTCTTACACGGAACCACATGCATATTTACAAAACCATATTGTATTTTCCTTTGATGCATATTTTTTTCTCATCAGTTTATATGAGAATAATCCACGCAGAGTGTGCAATCAGTTCAAAATCATGAGTTGAAAAACGCTGACTCCACGAGTTTAAATATTAGAGCCTAATACAGAGAGGAGCGGCGTGCTGCTGGCGCGTTTCGCGCTAGCATGCCCGCCGCACCGCAGCGTGCATTGCTTGAAGTATCCCAGTTAGGTTTGTAGGCGTTGGCGCGTTTCGCGCTGGCATGCCCGCCGCACCGCAACGTGCAATGCTTGAAGTATCCCAGTTAGGTTTGTAGGCGTTGGCGCGTTTCGCGCTGGCATGCCCGCCGCATCACAGCGTGCCGCGGCGCCTCAAGCAACTATTTCACAACAGAGGTGTTTCACAGTATCATACGAAATTGAAGGCGCTTAAACGTGTTAAGGGTGATATTTTTTCCGCGTGGTTTGTGAAATTAAAGCTGAGGCCTTCAAACGCTTTGTCTCCTTCCTAATTCTTGCATGCTCTTTTTTCAAATGAGTCCTCTGTCAACGCTCAATCGCTCATGGATCTATTTTTTACATTAAAAATCGATCGCCTCGTTCCATCACTTTTTGTTTGTGAATTGTTTCCTCTCGCCTTAAATTCGGTGGAATTGACCAATGACCGTGTTACCTCCTTTGAAACGCCGCACAGTGGATCGAGTCAATTAGAGAGGTCGGACATGAAATTTTTGACTACAACTGCAAATTTTAATGTTTATTTCGTCACATTTTAAATTTCAAGGGGAGCCTGGAGTAGGAAATTTCACGAGGAAACCAATGGAACCCCTTTTAGAACCTCAAAGTTTTGTATAAATCGAGTTGAAAGCGTTTAAGGATTCTAAATTTTGTCCGACCTCTCCTATTGACTGGATCCAGTGTGCGCCGCTACCGGAAGACATCTCGATTAGAGAGCAGCGCGAAAAATGTATCACCCGCTAAAGTTGATTTTTCATTCAAATCGAGTCGCGCTCTATATTTCAACTCCACTGAAAAAAAAATCTCGTTGTATTTACTAAGAAACGTGTAAAATTACCAAGAATTCAGGGTTCTATTTGATCCCGGTTTTTTCTTGGTAAAATTAACATTTATGGAATTGGTAATTTTACCTAGAAATCTCGGTAAAATTATTGAACTTTCTCGGTAATTTTACTGGACCTTGGTAAAAACGCCAATATTTTTTATCGACTATGGTATAATTACCGAGATAAAATGGCAAAGTTACCGGGAATTGATTACCCATAAAAGTGGTATTCTTACCTGAAAAACAGTAAAAATACCGGTTTTTAGGTAAGTTTAATAGTCTGTCTTGGTAAAATTACCAATAATTTGTAAAAAAAGTGAGATGGTGAAGGTACCAACGGACCTTGATAAAAACGCCGAGAAGTTTTTTTCAGTGTCTATCCGAAAAGATTCACTGGCAGATACTCACAATTTACCAAGGATTTTGCATCATTGAATCGAATTTCATTGATGGTTGTCGTCGGGCTGGCATAATCGTTTGACTCGTCCCCATCCATAACGATACTTTCTCTTTCTGCATCTTCCATGATATCGGCGTCCAACTTGGCAGCCATATCTCTGGCATGGCAATCACACAGAGCCAGCACGAACATACTAAACAAGGAACCCACCTACGAGATAAAAAAGAGAAATGGGCGAATAAAATAAATCCAAACAACTTTGGAGACATTTGAGCATTACACGCCACCGATCGTCTAATTTTCGATCGGTTACTAAATATTTCCAGAGTGTAGAGATTTTTCTCTAACATATCGATGGTCAGAGTGAAAACCACTGGATTCGGGGAGGATTTTAACTACACAGATTCGTAAAATTAGTGCTTCTACCTCAACCAAGTTTATCAGAAAGAAACCAAGTTACATTTATTGAACTGAGAAAAGGAGGTTTGAAATGGACCACTAGACAAGGTACGAATTTCAGAATTCTGAAACATGTTTCTCAACCAAAATTTCACGTAAAAACAATGCGCACAACGAAATTAACCGAAATCAACTCCTTACGAAGATAATTAATGATTCTTGATGCGTAAATTCAAACCACCCGCTCATGAAAACTCAATGCTCTACGTGATTCACATCGCGCGCTAAACGTTATAATGACAGTCTCTGCGATATAAAAATCTGGCAACCTCAATCTTGACGCTTTGGCTCAGCTATGGCAAATTGCTAATAGTTTGAACAACACATGAGGGAAATGGACATTGCTCGATTAATTGAGAAGCTTGCTGAAACCGTTGTAGTGCGAGATTTGACTCACGTAGAGCTTTGAGTTTCTTGTGAGCGGGCAGTTCAAATTCCTCGTAACCATAATGTGAAATAAAAACGTTAATATCTTCGTTATGAGTTGATTTTAGTAATTTTTGCTGTGTGAATCGTGTTTTACTTGAAATTTTGGTCAAGAAACATGTACCAGATTACTTAAATTCGTACCTTGTCTAGTGGTCCGTTGTATATTCCTCCGTATAAATCACTGATGAGGATATAGTTTTTCGCACTCGAAAGACTTTTCCCAACTTTGAATTTTCAATCCGGGTAAACGTGCGGCTAGGTAAGCTACGAACCAGTCTTAGATCATTTTTCATTCAAGTGACCTGGTTTCTTCATTGTTCGGCGTAGGTCAGCAATTAGTAAACGCCATTAGTGTGACGTCACGAAAAAGTGATGTATGCATATCGATTCATTCTTACTAGCACCATTGAAAGTACCATGTCAAAGTAATTGTACCAATTTCACGAATTGTAAATATTGCTTGGATGCGATGTGATAGAATGGAGAATCCCTATGATGATGTCAACGCTATTTTCGTCTATTGAAATCCCAAGGAACTTACGAATTCCGCGATTGCAATGAGCATGACCGTGGTCCGGAGGTTGACCCTTCCACAAATGAGGAACACCTGCTTCGGAAACAGCATGCTGACTGATGGACTGTAGTGCCTATTCAAGAAAAAAAAATCACACAGTTGAATGAGGTTACTTAAGTATGAGGTCCACAAGCTAGAAAAGCAATCAAATTAATGTAACACCTGGTCACAATAGAGCCTCTCTGGGCGGAGAAATGTTTTCGTCATGAGGGGTCAAGAAACACACAAACAGCTATACATGCATTTGCTATAGCAGATCCAAGGAAAAATTTAAGTGCTTTTTTCCACGTTGAGAAAGTTTCGTCATGGCCAAGTTTCACTAAAACGCGAAAATATTCACACATTCAGAGCATAGCACAGCATAGCACAGCATCCTCGGAAGACAAATCGCTTTAAGTCGAAGTCAAGACAGTCGGAAAGACAGTTAAGGATGGTGGGATTACAAAATTAATAGGTACTTTGAATGGTCTCGGTTTATCTCGTTTTAAACTTTCCGCTTTATTTCAAAATTGGGGTTATTTCGCGAAATCAGCTCTTTCAGGATCTTGAAATATTCTCTAAAGATTTAACAAATATTGATCGGTTTTGCCTTAGAAACGTAATGCAAGAACAGTCGTTTGAAATGACGCAATTGTGAGGCTACAGCTAAATTTCTCGTTAAATGAAAGGAAGTTCTGTTATCCAACCTTTTGGAAGCCGGAAGAAAAGACTCAATCGGCCGTCGGGCGCGACATAAGCAACAACGCCTTGATTCATTCAACTATATCTGCACAGTGACTATGCGTGTTGCGTAAAATAAGTTGAAGGCTTTTTGAAGCGTATTGTTTTCACATCATATCGAGCTGCATCAAAAGTCGGACCGGCACTTCCACGTACCCGTTTGTTTGGCAGACTAGCAAAACAGCAGGGAATGAGTTTTCCACAAATTTCCAAATTTTGGAATTTTAATCATTCACTGCACTTTCAATTATTCGAAATAATGAGTGATTTGAGTCTGGAATGTATAAGGGATCATTCGTGAATGAAAATTAAAGTGCATCTACGCTCTATCTCTCAAAAATGTAAAACATTTATCAATGACTTTGAACAAAATCACCTACTAAAATTGCAAATTTACAAAAATCCGCGTTCATGGTGCATATTTTCCATGCAATAGCCCCATTTAACGCACATACCTACTTCCTAAGAGAAATACCGTGATGTACAAAAAATGTACGGCAACATTTTACTTTTCGGTTTTCTCGGTTTTCAAGCGCTTAAAAGTAACATTATTGACATCATTTATCATTGAAACTTCGATGTTCAATCTTAGTCACTCAACGCAAATACGTCCCTACAATTTTGGCCCAAATGTCTCACTTTCAAGGATTGACTCGGGCCTTACGTGGGCCTCGTGACCTAACAACGGGTAAAAGTATTGAAACAAGTTTTCAAGTCTACGTTTGACTTTAGAATAACAGCTGCGGTAATTGCATCCGTTTATTGGCACGTTGATCAATAAAGAATGCAAGAATTCAGAGAAACAATTAATGAAAAGTCTGCTGTCAAACGCAAGAACTCAAAATAACAAATCATTCTTTTATTCTGTAGATAGAAAATTCACTGAAATTTGCACAGGATTCAAGCAGTTTGTGTCAAAGTACGAGAAAAATTCAGTTAAAATGGATTCAACAAGGTTTAAGACAAAAGAAACAACTTGGACGTTTAGGATTACTTATATGCCCAATCTCAATCAGAACAAAAAGTAAAACTAACGGTTTAATATTCATTGAAATTTTTATTTTTAATCTTTGTTTTGGTAGAGAATGGTCATTTTTTTATCGACCTAAGCTCCTCTCGTATTTTTTGTTTCTTTGTTTAGCCTCATCAAACCCATTTTTTTTTCGATGTATCCCACTCGTATTCGGACCGCATTTATGAGAAAGGAACCAAACACCCACATCAGCCATCGCCAAATTTAACTGGGCAATTTAATTTTTTACAAGAGAACGTTTATGGGGATTCCTTTGAAAATTTTGAGGAATTTGCTTCATGCTATGCAGAAATTTCACTGAAATTTGCACAAAATTCCCCCCGACGGTTTTCATGTAAAAAAGTAAATTTGGCAATAGCTGATGCTGCTCGGTTCCTTCCAACTTGACTTTCTATGGCACAACGTTCCGAATCCATAACAACGTATTTTCGAGGTTTTTAAAAATTGAATCTTTCCCCCATGCCATGATTTTGCAAAATTTCATTAGTTTTTTCTTTTTTTGAAAATTTTATTCCCTTAACTTTAAAATTTTGACAAAAAATTGGCACTCTATTTTTTTCAATGCAAGCTACAAAATAGATTAGTGTGCCCCAGATCCAAAATTAATTCATGCCCTAGAGGGCTAACGCGGTCCGTATCATCTCTGAATTGGGCTATAACGTTGTGTTTTTCTTATCACTCCGTATCAAAACACTCACCTTGTCAGAGAACTTTGGAGAATAGATGATCACTGCCCGCTAGAAATGAAGAGCCACGGATCGCACATGGTGGGCTTCATCGAGATCTGAAGCTTAGTGAACAGCACGCGTATATTTGAAACTGTGCACTGGGGACGTTTCAGAAGCCCGAGGTGATTCGGTTTTGGGCGCGAGACAAGATGTTGTGAGAGAGGCGAGCTCGGACGCCAGTCGTCTAAGGGTAGAGCAGGGTGACTTGCGCTCGGGGGGCGGCGAAAATCGATGAAACGGGGGACGGGGGACGGTGTCACTCTCATGCAACGCACCACCTACCCCATACAGTCCGCGCAGCATGGACAAGCTGCACGCGAATGCATCCCCTCTCCTCCGCCCTCCCGCCGCCGCTGGTTTTCCATCACTTCCGGGAGTCGGCCAATTAAAATTGATCGATGGATTTTATTAGGATCCCAGACAACGCTCTCCGCATTTAACGTAATTAACAGAGATTCTACCGAGCCGATTTATTCACGTGAGGCTGGTGGATTTCCAGCTGACAGATATTTTTAATTCGGTGTCGGGTTGGCTCGAAAATTCTTGTTATTCTGACACGTGTTCGAGGCCCTTTCCTTTCGGGTGGGCCCTTTCTAACTAACCTAAAGAACTCCTTAACGTGGGGTTTTCAAGTTTTGGGGGTCCCTACACTGAAAAAAAGTATGGTGACATTTACTATGAGTCCACTTGATTTTTTACACAGTGCTATTTATTGAAAATAACTAGAATTATAGAAGTATTCACCAGAACTCTGGTGATTCTTACCATAATATCGTACATGCTATCATAGAGTCTGGTGTTTATTACCATATGTCACTGTCTTAGAGTATGGTAAAATCTATTATATTTTTTTTCAGTGTACAAAAATCCTGCCGGGGCCCTCTGAGCCCCCCGTCAGAATTTCTGGACCCAGCACCCCTGGCCACACCGCCCCTGGTGGTTTTATTCGTAATGATTTCTGACGAAGCTAATGAAAGAGTTAAATGGGTCAGTTTCCGCTAGTTACAGAGTCGTATTTTGACGGTTTTGTCTCGTTGATTGAGATAAAATAATAGGATATCTCTATTCAAACGCCAAGTTTTCTCGTACAATGTAAGCGGAGATATCGCTCATTGAAAAATACGGGTGGCATGTGGTTAGCATCTGTGATACCATGATGTGGATGCCAACGTGGTACCATGGTGTAGCGTGGTGACCATTATGGCGATCATGGGTTGCTTGGTCCAAGCTTGGTTTCTTCTCTCCTGTAGGGTCAGATCTGAATAATTTTTCTCTCTTCTTTCATGAAAAATAATGCCTCCTTGATGGAGCCTTGAAGTCCGCGCGAGCCACGCTATTGCATTTGACGACAATCTAAGGTTTGTGAAAAACTAAGAAGGAAAAACTAGTGAAAAACTAAAAACTAGTAAAACTAGGTCAGGTCTGAATTCATGAAGAATAATACGATTTCATTGAAAGCAAAACTCTGTACTTTTTATAAAATATTTAGAACATTCAACAATATCATACCTTTAAGTTCAAAATCGACAACTATGAGTATGAGTTATAACAAACATAATTCCTTCAAATGGATAGAGGATCAATCAGCAATCGTGTAAACATGTAGGCATGATCACTGAATTGCTAAGAAAAAAGTGTAGAAAAATAATTACCAAACATTAATAACAGCAGGATTTCTTAGGGGGAAAATAATTTTAGAATATACGTTTCTCTGTTCATTCCAAGACTTGACAGTGAACATCACCGGCCACTAACAATGAAAACTTAGAACTCAATTATGACAGTAACAATACAAAATCATTATTGACAAACTAAAGACAGTATGTACAGAGACAGGTTATATAAAATAAATAAAAACAATTTAAAAAGAAAATGAACACGTAGGGTTTTGCAAACAGATCCTTCAAATTGACAATGAGTGAAAAGTTCATTTTGAAAATAGTTTCGAATTTTTGAGCAATCGATATGTACATACACACAAAATGTATGAAAAAGTTCTAGTTATATCAAACATCATCTGAAAGCATATTCACAGACTTTTTCTTCTTCATTTTTAGATGTTTGCTATTCTACGTCGTAGAATTATAGGTCAAACATTTCTCACACATTTGAGTATGAGGAATAACTGAAATACAAAATGAAAGGATATGTACAGGCCAAAAAAAAATGTATATAGATTATTTGTGCCGTAATATTTTAGTTGGTGTTCATAAAATCTGAGGCAAAGTATAGTTTAAACACAGTAAGAAGGCACTTTTTGTAAAAATAAAATGAACAGCTATAGAGCGAATCTCGGAAGAGTTGAAAAATAACAATATTGGTAAAGGTATATCGTTTCTAAGCCTGTAACTGACACAAATTAAAAGTTTCCATCCAGTTTATGTCTTTTATATTTATATAAAAGATACGGTTTATCATGGGATGATAATTCCTTGGATACCGCACCTACATTTGCATTTCGAGTCTTTTTGAGGTATTTTACTTAAACTAACTTGTAAGTAAACGATCAAAATTCAAAGAGAGCTACCTCCCTTTTCTTTTCAAGCCGGCTTTTAACCTTCCTTTGTGAACAAAAATATTTTTGTTGTAATTTTCAAAATAAATAATTAATAAATATATTATGTCTAGATAGATTATTTAATAAATATAATTAAATAGATAAATGAAAATTTGAGGAAATATATTATGCTTGGGAAGTGATTTGTTGCGAATTCTCACTCCAAAATTTGTATTATTACCTGCGAATTGAATACTCTTAAAAGACTAAAATGTTTACACGGTGAGTTTTTCTGAGTTACATAGAGAGCAAGTTCAATTTTATTGAAGGAAATTAACACTCTCTGAGCTAATGTTAGCCCTACTTCTATGTGGTCGGTTATGACAGTGGTCTATCATAATATTGACTACACCATATCAATGAATAACTATGTATGGCTCATCTTATAAGCAACGTATGGACTATAAATTTCTGCACGCCTACAGGTGCTTCTATGGTTGAGCCAGAAGTATTGAATCCTTATTGCAAAATATAGTTTCTATATTTTCCGCATGCAATTGCATAGGTATTCATTTTTTCAAATTTCTAAATCCTAGCATTCTCGAGGCAATTAATACTACAGTCCAAGTTTTTTTAAAGTAGGGGTGGCAGTGGTTTTGTGACGGTGAATTAACAGCCTTCCAAATCGAATTGAATTTTTAATTTTTAATTTTAATGTTTGTCAATGCATTAAAATGGAAGTGGGTTGAAACTATTCGACTTACGCCCATAAAAATAATGTATTATTCCCTTTAAGATGCCACAGCAAGGCAAGTTTATAAGGCTTCATATGGTATTTTCTGAGAAATTTTCAATCAAAAGATTTAAAATCAGCAAAACAAAATAAATAAATATTCTTTACTAAAAAACGTTGGCGTTTATAGAAAAAGGGACCTATAAGTCCACAAAAACAACAGAGGGAGCTTTCAGCTTGGAGTATTCTATTAGCTCATTGAAAAAAAAAGTCCGAAAATGTGAAACCAAACCGGCATGATAGTGGTTTAAAGTTACGGTTTAAAAAACGTACTTTCGAGAACTAAATGATCTAAACCACTGGTGACTAATTCCTCAGAAAACTAGAGAGCTTTCTATTAAAATCTCAAAATCCAATACTTCGATCCAACCAGCAAAAATATCTATACTGAGAATTTTTCTCTCTAGCTTAAGGTCCCTTATCCCGGGGTCGTATACCATATACAATATACATACATTCTTAAGGAATAGCGTATAACTGGTGCATAAAAAGTGACTTTCTTAGTAATTTCCAGGGCCGGATTTAGGCCATACAGACGCACTAGGTGCGAATCTTGACGAGGCCTCGAGTTGGCTAAACAATTCGAGCTCTTAAAAAACAACAAATACGAATAGAAATTTCCGGGAAGTTTGCTAAAATGTTGGTCTAAAAATCGGCTCACGGAATACATTCGGATAGCAAAAATTGGAATTTTCGATCCCGAGGGCAAAAATCTATTTACACGATTTCGAACCCGGTAAAACCGATGCGATTTAATAGATTTTTTCGGTTAAAAAATCTATTCCCAACAATAGTCCTGGTTACTCGCGCGTAACCCGCGTGGAAAATTTTGGTAGTTGAGCATGTGAACGAGACCCAGCTCACAATCAGACTTACAACTACATCGTATTTACATATTCTTAAAACTACTTGTGCTCGAAGGAAGCTAGTATATCACAGGTTTCGTGGTTGAGCTGTCGAGGGTTAGGGAGTCGAGGACTTGGGCGCAGCAAAGAGGGGTGTCCACCTGGTAGGTGTTGTGGAAGAGGGCGTAGTCGACCTCGTAGGCGAGGCGCTCTTTGCTGTAGTGGATCATGGGCTCGAAGCGGTGTCCCCAGAGGAGTTCGGAGGGCAGGTACGAGGTCCGAGCTTGGGTCGGCTGTCCCGTCGACTCGATCGTCCCTTCCAGGGTGACGATGATCTCGAACTTGTCCGTCAGGAGCTCCGCCGCGCTCATCGTGTACAGGGGACTCTCCCGGTCGATCCGGTGGATCACCACCGCCGGCCACAGCAGGAACACGTTCGGATCGTACTGGTCTACCGACAGCTGAAACATAAATCGTTTCAGTTGAAAGACGAGTAAGTAAAATGATTTTATGAAAAGAAAACACTAAGAAGTGGCCCAAACTGTATGTAACTAGGTGGAGAAATGGTGCTGGGTCCGCACCATTTCGTGGGGGAAACAAAGCCAAGAAATTCCAAAAATTAAAATTAGAGTCAAAATTAATTTTTGTTGTTGTGTTAGACATTCGTCTAAGGGCGAATTCTATACCTTCAAAAGAGAAAGGTAGAGGATAATTGTTAACGTGATAAAAAAACAAGGTGGAGAAATGGTGCTGGGTCCAGGCGTCCACACCATTTCGCGGGGAAAATAAGGCCAAGAAGTTCCAAAAATTAAAATTAGAGTCAAAATTAATTTTGACTCTAATTTCAATTTTTGGAATTTCTTGGCTTTGTTTTCCCCACGAAATGGTGTGGACGCAGCACCATTTCTCCACCTTGTTAAAATGATTTTATTTTGTCGGATTCTTTGAGTTCTAGGGCTGTTTAACATCAAGTTGGACGTAAAATATCGACGGTGAAACTGCAATACTGCCGTGCGCCTTCAATCAGTAGATAAGCAACATACACAACACCCCGATGCAGTGGCAATTAATCATGTAATTGCAATTTATCGCACTTTGTGATAATTGGGCATCAGTTTAAAGGTACATGAGAGAGAGGAACACCAGGAAGAAAAATTAAAAGATTAGATTCTAGCTCGCTAGATTCTAGCGGCCTGATTGTTGAAATTGATAGACAAAGCTATAGAAAAAGGAGACTAAAGGGATATGGAGGGATCCTACTGGTGGAAGCAGGTATTAGATTGACCAACGGTGTCCCACGAGAGACCCCGTAGTTAGTCCATCATTTACCCATGCATACATTCAAGTCGCTTTTACAGCGCGCCCGGGCGCTCTGCGACACCTAATCGCCATTCTTATCTATCGATCCAGAGGTCATCTGGTAAATGGCATCTTGTAATTTCATCTTGAATGCCACCTATCCACGATTTTGCTGAACGTCCCCTACGTTACCTCAGGAGGAACCCAATCCAGTACCTTCTTCGGCAATCTGTCATCCGCCCTCCGTTGAGCATGACCATACCAGCCAAGCTGTTTGGTTATAATTTCATGCACGATGTTCTGCTCGGCGTTCATTATTTCACGCACTCTTTCGTTCCTCACGTGATCTCTTCTCGAGATTACGGCTGACCTCCGCGAGAAATTCATCTCAGTTGCCTTAAGAATTTTTTGGACACGATCTTCCCTGGGCCATACTTCACTGCCGTTGGTTACCCATAAGTTACCCCTTATTCTATAAAAGCCACCCATTCAACCAATAGGATTGCTCTGTACCTCCTATGTCTTCCTTGTCCACCGCTTTGCCTATTAATTTCAACTATCAGCCCTCAGTCTGAAGAAGAGTAAGTTTGACTCGGACGATTTCGAGATGGTATCATTGAGAACTCACCTTGAGCTCGCTGAGGAAAGGAGCGAGGATTTCACCCTCTTGCGTGATCCGCGGCCTCACCAGGAGCGCGCGTATGGAGGTGGCGATTAGGTGGGATTTATCCCGCATGTCGCCCGCCCGGAACATGAGGCAGAGTTGCCCATCCCGCTGACAAATCACGGCTGTTCTGCTGAAAAGCAGGGTCTCCGTCCGCTGCTTCGGTCGGGCCATCTTCGCGAAGATTATTCCCACCATCAGAGTCTGCAAAAATCAAAACAGCAAATTAACAATATTATGGAGAGATGTCAGCTGTCGATGGTGGAAGATCTGATTCGAAAAGTCTCCAGATTTTGGAAGTAACTTGTTCGTACCCTCAGATCGGGATGGAATTTGAAAGAACGAAAAAACTAAAAGAGATATTTTGAAATCGAGGAACTTGCAATCGCCTCATTTCGGAATGGATATGGCTAAAATAACGCTTCTTTGAATGTCTTTATGGATAGCTAGTGTCAATACTTGCGTCTCTCTGAATGAAAAGTCGCGATTTTCCGCTTGTGGTTTACGTATTCTTTAAGAAGAAATATTTATTGAATGTTTCGAGAATTTCCTTCATTCCTTCAGTAACGCTCGCAGACTATTTCAAAAAGATATTTTTCTTAATTTAAAAATACATGGTCGGAGATTTTTGAACCTTGAAATAGAGGTATGTATTTTTCGACTTAGGCCATCGATCATTGCTCTAAAAAAAATAGAGATAGTTTTCTTTAATGCTTGAATACAAGTCAATACCGCTCGGTATACCGTATTGTGGCAGTAATAAATACTCGTATAAACAGAAAGCACGCATTTCTAATTGGTTGTCATAAAACATTTAAAACATCAGCCTTTCAGTAATGGTAGTCTTGCGGTAAGATAAGTAACGTATCTTAGCAAAATCGGCGATGAAAGTTCTCTTTTGCCGCTCTTCATTACTACTAAATTCCTCTTTCGTCGAAGTAGCACCTGCTCAACAACACGCCGCGCGTCTGCGCATTGCTGTGCGTGTGCGGGCACGAAGAGTCAAAACGCCTTCCATTTTTGGCGTATGCAACCCGGACATCCACTGAGTTCGAATAGTTGCATCCAAGCGCTTTGCTCTAAATCGCGGGGGCACGCTGGCACGCCTGTCCTTACGGGTCGTAAATTTTCGTGTGTTCCACGTGAACACGTTTAGTTACAGATCATTTATGTGGTAATTCATTATAATTTTTTTTTTTTTTTTAAAAACCCTCGAAATAAACTATCTATTTTTATCAATTTACTGATGGAGTGAAAATGTACGCTTCGTGAGATGACGGACCGGTTACAGAAATCAAAATGAAGAGAACTGTACAATGAGAGAGGAAATTTAATAATGTGGAGAAAAGTAATCCTAAATGGATGGAGCATATTGGACAATACACCTTAAAGATGATTCAAAGATCCACTAGCGAGTTCCATTACTCTATATAAAGCTGCTGTTCCCACTCACTATGCCCCCCCCCTAGATAAAAATTGGCCGAAGCGATTTCCTTTAAAATTGGTACACGCTCAGCTATTGTAATGAGGAGTTGATTAAAATTATTCCCACTCAAATCCGCTGCTTAGGACGCCCGCAAGAGCGAAAAGTTGTTTCTCCATATAGTATTACATTGGAGATACGCGGTTGTTTACGCGCATCGCGCCGAACAGGTTCAATCCTGTTGCGTGACGTCACTGCC